AATCTCAGGGGTCTTGCAATTTATTTCCATGAACTTGATCTCCAGACACAGCCTCTGAATTTTCATACCACTGTAATCGAATATTGATTGAGATTTAGAACCTTTATATAGACCTTTATTTTTTAATTTAATTGATGTTATAGAAAAAACAAACTCGGTATTATAATGTGATGTTGCTGGACGGGTAAGTGTTGGATCCAGGAAACTTGCAGTGGAAACCCCTGGGCATCTTGCTGGAGTAAGGACATAGCTCACCACACAGAGTCCCCCCCTCTACTCCTACCCTTCCCCCCAGGTATGTGCCTTGTGCTGCTCCAGCCAAGTGGCTGTTGTCATATCAGCACATGAAACAAATGCTTACTGAACAAAGGATTCTTTACATAGTAAGCATTTTCATAAAGATTTAAAACTGGATATCTTAACCATTTGCTCACTTGTTGACCAATTTAGATAAATTTTTATTCATACATAAAAATATAGTGAACATCCACTAGGTATTAGTCTTTGGGTAGTAAGGCCATTGAGGCAAAAGCATAGTTTGGGCTTTCAAGGAATTTAGGATCTCCTAAGGGAGCATTATCTGCAGTTTTGGAGCAATCCCATATGGTGATGGGAGTGGCGGCCGCAGAGAGATGGATCAGCTGAGCCTCAAGGATCAGGACATTCCTAGGAGGCGCCTTCCAGGCTGTGGGGAAATTGCTCACGTATTCAGGGAACTGGGAGTAACCCGGGTGTGGCTGGAGTGTGAGGTGTGGTAGGAGGAGAGGCCGATCCTCGAAGCAGAACAGGTTTTATCCAGGGCCAGTGCCTGAGCAGTCAGAGATTCTGCAGATCTGTCCCAGTCCTGCCACCTGTCCTTGCCCTTTTTCAAAGTGGCTTTAAGGGAGGAGGAATGGTGCTACTTTTAACTGTCTGTGCCTTAAAACCTCAACCCAAACCTCTTTCCCTCATTTGAGGGACTGTCATATGAGGGGCTGTTACAATGAGCCCTGGCTCACCATCTCAAAGGCAGGCAACACATGGGCCCAAGCACCTAGCGCAGGGAGGAGTAGAGGGTGGAGGGCATAAAGATGAGGTTGGTACTTCATTGCCACCTAATCCACAGACTGATAAGGGAACAGACAGGGCTTTGCTTCCCAGGCTTTACCAGAGGAGAGCTCTTGCACATGAAAGAGTCACTTCCCAGTCCAAGCTATGAGTTCATCTAACCAGCCAACCCTAGAGGCAGGTGCAGCCGATCTGCCTGGCTCCAGAATCCACCTTCTTCCCTCCAAACTCAGAACCCTTTCAGCAGGAGGAAACCTGGCACACACATTCTGGGAGAGGTGGGGCTCACACTGGGCCTCAAAACATGGATAGGTCTTCAGCAGGCAGAGATGCAAGTGAAGGGCATTCAAGTAAATGAACATGCAGAAGTAGGGTGTCCCAGGTGACAGCAAGGGAAATCCCACCACAGAGAAGAGGGAGCTGACAGAGATAGACCAAAACCCAACTCCAAGGCCTGGGCCTGGACATGGGGAGGAGTCAAAAGAGTGAACAAGCATAGAACGTATTGAAATTCCCAGAATCAAATATTTCTGGGTTTGAAAATCTTATAAGGGGACTGGAGGGACCTCATCAAGTAGAACCTCAATCACATAGGGTACTCGTCACCTCTCAAGAAACCTCATAGTCCAGTTGCTTAATGAATTAATTAAATTCATTGGCCCAGCCTTGTTCTCTCAGAATTGGTTTGAATTTTCTTACATTTGTGGAAAAGGGAACAGGAAGAGGGCTCAGAATCATGGTCCCTGTATTAATTTGCTAGGGCTGCTGTAACAAGGTACCACAAAGTGAGTGACTTAAAAACAGACATTTATGTCTCACAGTTCTGGAAACCAGAAGCCCAAGATCAAGGTGTTGGTCTGATTGGGTCATTCTGAGTACTGTGGTGGTGGTGGTGGGGGGGGGGGATCTGTTTCAAGCCTGATCTTCGGTGGTCCCTGACTTGTGTACACATCACCCAATCTCTACCTTCCTGTTCACATTGTGTTTTCCCTGTGTGAGTGATGGTCTCCATGTCTAAATTTCCCCTTTTTATAAAGACACAGTCATATTGGATTAAGGCTTACCCTAATGACCTCATTTTAAACTTGACCACCTGCAAATAATCCTTTTTTCAAATAAGGTTACATTCATGGGTATTGAGTGGAGGCACAGCTCAACCCATAACAGTTCCCAATTTGCTGTAGTTTCCAATACCCTCCTTCGTGTCCCATCAACAACACAGATAGAAAATTGAAGATAGTGTTTCAGGATCCTTCCAGATACCATCCTTTGTCCACCACAGAGGGGCAACCACCCTTTGTATACTCAGACCCCTGGGTAGTGAGGGCCTCTGTGTCGAGAGATTCAGAGAGCAGCCAGGGCATCTGCCCTGCTTTCTGGGCAGACAGTGCTCCCCATGGGCATACGCTCTCAGGTGAGAGAAAGACCCAGCACACTGGTGTCTTCCAGACACCTGGAGAGGCAGCTCCTTATCCGTTATTACTCACAATGTCTACAAGAGTGGGCAAAAGCAGGTTTACAGTTGTTCATGTGGAAAAAGACATGGAGGTTATGATTATTACAATAGCTCACAGCTGTAAACCTACTTTTGCCCACCCCTGTGTGTGTATATGGTGGTTAACTACAGTTGAAATAGTACCTTAAGACATTTTCCAAAATTTGTAATAGATATTGTAAAAGATTTATGATACATTAGTGAAAGAAAGCACAATATGAAAGTTTGCATATGGTTTGATTTCAAACACACACACATTTTTAACAGCTTTATTGAGATATAACTCCATATTTAAAGTCTATAGTTCATTGACTTTTACTATATTCATGAAGTTATGCAACCATCATCACAAGCAGTTGTGGAATATTTCACTACTCAAAAAAAAAAAAAAACACAAAACCTGTACCCCTTAGCTGTCATACTCCAAACCCTCATCCTCCCTGCCCCCAGCCCTAAATATCCACTAATCTACCTTCTGTCTCTATAGTTTTTCTCTGTCCCTACATTTTATACAACTGTATGTATATTTTAATTAGAAAAAAAATCGAACGGAACTGCACACTAGACGGGATGACTTTTACCAATGAATAGCAGAATTACAATTTTAATTTTCTTCCCTTTATTTTGGGTATTTTTCTAATTACACAATGAGCATGAATTGCTAATCAAAGGGGAAACGTTTTATTTTTAAAATAAAGGGAACTAATCCTATTTAACTAGTCCTCATGGATTATTCTGAAAACTTGACCTAAATCATGATCTTATTTTACGGGGGCAAATGTTTCCAAGTTCCAAACAACTGACTTCAAATAGCACATTTGGAGCGCAGTTGTTAGGAATGGAAATGTTGCATCGCACTGGTTTGTTCTGCACTGGATTTCCTAAGACCCGGCCCCCGATAGCCTTGCATCCCACTCCTCAGGGTCTTCCCATCCTTAATCAGGTGATCTCTCTCAGCCTTCAACAAATTGTTGCTTGTCTCAAGTGAGAGACCCTATAATTAAACCACATCCTTTTGCCTCTTTAATAACATTGGAGACAGAGAGTATAATTCTATGAGGGGACGGAAGGAATATATAATTTAGTGTCCTTTTCCTGAGCCAGTATGAACTTCGTGCATGTAGCGTCTTGCATGCTTCAGGTGTAAAAAGTGGTCTGTTGTCTCAGCAAGTGCATTACGTGAGCACAATGCATACTGAATCCATCTCACAGTTAGAGGCTCTTTGGATCTGTGTCTAGCATACTTGATATTTCCAGATTCACCTTTCTTTGATGAATAGACTTTACACTGGAGGGAAATAAGCTTACCTGGGTGAGGTTCATGAGACAAATTGGGCCTAGTCACCATCACAGAAACTCATCTGTTGTCTTAGCTAGAAACCTGGGCTTCATCCTTGACTGGCCTGGTTCCTCTGTGCCTCACATCAGCTCAGTGGGACCCTAATCTTTCTGATTGGCCTCCTCTCCTTCAATCCCCACCCCATCTGCCCTGTACATTACTCATCTGGGCAAAGAGGCTGCTGCCTCCTTTCTGTCCCTTCCTGAGCAGACAATGAAGTTGATCTTCCACATGCTGCGATGGTGCTTCATTATCTGATCCCCTCACCTGTCCAGTCTTGCCACTAACCAGTCCTCCCCATGTGTCCATGTTCCCACCTCAGCAGACCCCCATATTCCCTGGCATATTAGAGCCCCATCATGGGTTCTTAACCTGGATTCCATATGTGAATGTCCTAAAATAGAATGCATAATTGTGTGGTTGGGGGGGGAGGGGTGCGTGGGTGAATGGGGGGAGGGGTGGTATTTTTCTAGGAGGACAATGCTTGGCTGTCATAAAATTCTTAGAGATGATCTATGAATCCCTCGATTTAAGAACTGTATTCTGGGTGTTTGAACATGTTCTTTCATGTAATAGCTCACCTTTCCACACTGGTGGGCAGCTCCCGAGGACCACGCAAACACTACCTGCTTTCCTACTTGATGTCCCTTTCTTGTGGCCCCATGGCTTTGCTTACCTAGCACTTTCCCGGTCGGGATTTCATTACTTGTGTACATACTTGCTGTCACTTTCTGCCCTGCCTCCAGCACAATGTCCAACACAATGTCCAGTCAACTCTTAGTAAATACTGGCAGAAGAAGGAAAGAGACCAGGATGGGCACTGGGCCATTTTCTCCATGGAAAGCCCACAGTCAGTTGGGTGATGGGACAGTGTTGCTAATGGCTTCCTCTCGGAGCGCTGCCCCTGACTTGTGTACCCTCAAGAGGTGAACCCATGGATCTGTCTTCTTTGGTATGCTTACAGATATTTCCTCTAAGAGACTGCAGGCCCAGCTGTCAGGCATCTACATGGAGAAATCTAACTTCCATTTGCTGTGAGAATTTACTAGATGTGTAATGATTTTTAAATTACTTCTTGACAAATTTTGAGCTCTTTGTTTTTCTCCCATTCCCTTTCAGATTGATGCACTGAGTAAACGAAGCAAAGAAGCTGAGGCAGCCTTCTTGAATGTCTACAAAAGATTGATTGATGTTCCAGGTAAGACCATGCACTGATAACCCCCCCAGTGGGCATTGTGTCTGGAGAGTTGGTGGGTTTCGGGCTTATTCTTCTCAGCTTTCCTAAGAGAAATACACCATCAATGGCAAGAAACCAATGAGTTCTGGGAATTTTCCAAAACCCAAACTTTGGGTAGGTATGGAAATTAGATGCACTTGTGTTAAAGTCATCACATAACCTCTAGTGAATACTTTTGCAAATACGGAAAGTCAAATCAGTGGGGCCACCTTTAGTTTAAAATGCTGCACAATTTATAAGAAGAAATAGAACCTGTGGAGTGCTGTGCAGACACCGTGGATGTTTGTGTTTCTGGGCTGGTTGATTCCACATTCAGAAATAGCCCTAATAAGGTACCTCAAATACCTCACTCCCCTCCCAGGTCATCCAGGGAGCCAGTAACCTCTGGTCACATTTTTCATTTAAAGTTTATAGCCAAGGGCAAGTAGCCCAATTAGCTACAACCAAGTACTGCATATGGATTACTGACATGACTAGAACTACTTTAACAAAGCAAAACAGCTACAGGTCTCCTTTATATCTGAAATTGCATTTTAATTCAGGTCTCCTGTGGGCTTTGCTGTACCATTTGGGAGCCGGGATTAAAAGAGGTCACCCCAAGCAAGGGGCAGCAGAAAGCACTTTGGACAACATTCTCTTGCCAGAGGCTTGTTGTAAGGTCTTTGTCACATTCCTTTTCCTGTTTGGACCTCAGTTTTCTCATCTTTGAAATGGAAGAATGTAAAGGAACAGCCTCATGGTAGAGAATGGTTTTCTTTGTTCTAAATAAACTTTTGCTGTCAATGGAGCTTATCCAGCACTTAGTTCCAAATTCTGGCTTTTTTACTTTCTGCAAGAGTTTGTAACCAACTGGGGGTTCCCTGAAGACTGGCCGAGGCTCATGAAAAGGCTTCTTCACAGCAAACGGGTCATTGGATGCCCATGGTGTGGCCTTTTCTCAGGTACTGGCACCTCAGTGGTCCCACTGGCATGATCTTATGCAAATACAAATTTTATGTTGATGACTTAGTTGAAAGGAGTCTGGCTTGTTTCATCTTTGCCAAAGACCAGAGCCTTTTGCTGCTGTTTTCCAAATATCCTACACTCTCCTTTTTTAAAGTCCAGCTTTTACTTAGGTTTTTCCTTAGTGAAGTTTCTCAGATGGGCAGCCACTTTAACAAAGTGTTAGGTTTCTTTTTTCTGCCATTATTTTCCATCCTAATTTCTCATAGAAAAAAAATGAGAACATATTTTTCATCAAGGATCTCCACCTGAGCAGACCTTCTTCATGTCCGTATATTATTTTTATAGAATTTTTATTATACTCTGGCCACGTATTTACATTCTGCTTTTTTCACTTAACACTATACTATCAGCATTTTTCCCATTGGTGATATTCTTTGTAATTATCATCTTTGGCTGCAATTTCAACTTAAGACGATGGAAGCAAATAATGTTCCATGTTTTCTGTAATAAAAGTCAATCAAGTCCATCTGCATGCCACATAGATCACTTTTACCCACATCCAGGTATTTCTTTCTTACACCTGCTGTGGTCTGACAGTTCTCACAACTTCCTTGAGAAGCATGAGTGGAGCTGGGAGCACTCTACCTGTGTTTTGAAGTCCTGCTGCTCAGATGAAGTAATCTTGCGGCTGAGCTTTACAGGAAGGGCTTGGTCAATAGCGTTGCATTTACTGACAGTCACACAGTTGTGGGGAGTCAGATACCTTAACTGTCTGTGCTTCAGTCCCGCCAAACCCAGAAATATTGGTGGGGTGCATTAAGTCTTCTAGTTTCAAGAAACATCAACTCACACTATTTCAGAAAACTACAGGAAACTCTTGGGAATGATGAGACTGGTGTTTCAGGTTTGTGCCATGTGGCCCAGCTCCAGGAGCCAGGAAGAGCCAACCAGCCACCCCAGGAAGAGGCAGAGCCAGAGTCCCAGGCCTTGGAGACTGGCACAGTAACCTGACTGAACCAGTCCCCACTTGCCACCTCTTCCAGAAATTTTATTTATTTGTGAGTTTTCTTGTTTTTTATCTGCTGGTCCTACTCGAAGGAAAGCTCCATGAGGAAAGCCTGTGTTTTCCCTCTATGGTATGTCAGACCTCTGAAGCAGGGCCTGGCATACCACAGTTGTGACATGTTGAAGGACACAATGAGTCCATCAACCCAGGGCCACACTGGAGTCCTCCAGAGCCGAATTGGCAAAAGGTCACATCAGTAGCTCTAAAAGCTTTATCTCTGGCCTGTTCTCCCTTTTGCATGTCAGCTTGCATACCCAGCAATCTCCTGGACACATGCCCAGCCTCCTGGGGTGGCTGATGGGTACCCGAAAACTACCCAGTGTGTCCAGAGGAAACCTTACTGAGTTCCTTCTCTTGGGGAGCTGCACATGCCAATCACTGAGTCACCAAGTCCCAGCCATTCTTCCTTCAGAATGTTCTCAACTCCATCCACTTCTCTCCATCCCAACTTCTGCCCTCCACTTGCAATTCAGGCCTCCCCCCTCATGTCTACAGTATTATGACCCCAGGCTTCGTGCTTGCAGGGTTGCCTCCTTCTAGCCCATTCTCCAGACGGCCGGTCAGCCAGGCCCCTTCTCAGCTCAAGTCATCTCACTCCTGAGGTGAACCTGTTGAGACACTGCTTCCTGACCTCCAGGTTTGGCTCAGGTGTGCCCTTCTCACACACACATGCCCTGCTCCCAGCAGCCTTTGTTTCCTCTGTTACAACTACTTGGGTCTTAGCTGTTTTCCTTTCTGGCTGGGCAGAGTGACTGGAGCAATGTGGTCTTGTCCCTAATTATTTCTCTAGTGACTACCCCAGTGCCTGCCGTGTAGCAGAAACTCCATAAATATTTGTCAAACGAATTAATGGATTAAATTATTTCTTCAAATGTTTTTTGAGGTTTTTTTTGGTCTCAGACTTTAATTGTGAAATTGACACTTTCAACGGAGGAAGAGCACGCTGGAGCATTCTAATGACCTCAATGGCAAGAGAACAGAATGTATCTTTCCTTGACTTGAGGCTGTATAATAATTATTTGAACTCTCATTTTGCTTCATGTCACTCTATAAAGATTTACCTGCCTGCACAGACATTTATATGACACTTAGCATTTGGGGTTCATCAGAACAGCATGTGCCCTTCAGAGGCCTTGTCTTTGTGGCTGGCACTGACATCCAAAAGCTGTGTTTGGTTCAGTAGTTGTCCTTATGGCATCCCAAGCTTTATACACTCAGCACAAAGCATGGAATCTCCCTCCACTCCCACCCATTCCCACCTGCCTCCTCTCCTTCAGTGGTGTGACTCAGCTCTTCCCTCTTCTTCATCATCCACAGTCAGTATTCCAAAGTTATTTTTCCTCTCAAAAGCTTCTTCTTATTAAAGACACTTAATCAACATTTAAACACACACTCATCCTGATGAGTCCTCTGAATAGTTAAACTATTGAAAAACTGATGTATGTGTTCTTTCTCATTTGCTACCAGATTGCTCTGCATTCCCTAGTTAATTTCAGAGTATTTTAAGGTGCTTTTTATTATAAATATTCTACTACTTCAGCCAAAGCACACTCTCCTTCCACATTGCTCTGACCCTTGTTCCCTGGAACTTCTTAGTCAGCACCTTAGACACCGTCCCCTTGCTATGTCTCTGAGTTACTGCACTAGAGCAGTGAGCAAAGCAATCAGATAACTTCCTGTTCTCATGGACTTTAGAGTCTGGTGGGAATGTGGGCATTAAAAAGTAATTACACAAGTAATTATTGAATTTTAGGTGTGGTAAGTGCTTGGAAGGCAGAGCCTATTGGGCATAAGAATGTAGAATGGGTAGGATTGGGCAGACTCAAAGGCAGTGAGCAGTGCCCTGGAGCAGTGAGCTTATGAATAAGAAGAGGAGAGGGCAGTAAGGAGTGGCCAGACACTACATGGTCCAAACGAAGACACTGCCAGTAGTCAGACGTTACACCTGAGTAAAGGGCATACACCAGTGTGGTCACCCCGCTGCAAAGGCAGGTGGAGGCCTTGTAAATTATGTGAAGGGCTCTGGACTTCAGCAGACAAACCATTAATGAGTTTTAAGCAGAGCAATAACATGATCATATCTATATAATAAAAAAGTCATCCTGACTGCAATTTGGACAACAGATTTGGAAAGAAGTCCAAGGTGATGTGGGAAGAGAGAGATGTCACTAGGTTTCAGGTGGCAGGAGTGAAGGTGGAGAGAAATGGATGGATGCCAGCAATCTGTAGGAGGTAGAGAGGATGGTTGAAAAGTGACGAGGGCAGCTTTAGCCCAGAACTCAGTTAACACAGTGTTATTTCCTCCATCTGTGGGTAACAATACTTATTTATGTGGTTTACTTGTTTACATGTCTTTCAAAATTAAAAGGAAGACCAATAAAAGGTTTAGAGAATTAGCCTCCCACTTCTAATTATAATTGAAAATTACAATTGTATTAATTGAAAGTGTTCTTTGACTTTATTGTCAGCATCATAGCAGTAAGAGGGAAGTTTTGAATTCATAAATAAGTTATAATTTTATGCCTTTAATCTATATGGCTTCACCTGCCCTTTTATCTCAGGCTAGATTTTTATATCATAATTAGAGGCTTGGTGCACAGATTCATGCATCAGTGAGTTCCTTCAGCCTGGCCTGCACTCTTGCAATCCGGGACCCCTTGGGGGATGTCAGACTGCCTGTCAGGCCAGGCTGAGGGACCCCACTGGTGCATGAATGCGTGCATATAAGATCTTTGCATATAAGATCTTTGATTAATCTCTTGCCACCCTCCTCCCTTCCCACTGAGATTCCATGCCTGTGTATTGAGCGTTTGCCCCCTGGTGGTCAGTGCATGTCATAGCTATTAGTTAAGCGGTCAAAATGGTCACTTATATAGAGCACATGTGTCAAACACAAGGCCCGCGGGCCAAATCCGTCCCGCCAGGCCTTGCAATGTGGTCCGCACCGCGC